CACTTCACCTTCTCTTCTGGCAACTGCTAAATGTAATTTTGTTTCTTATAAAAATGGAATCTCTTGAGGTCTCTTTTATCCACCACCTCTAAGGTTTGTGTTCAAGAGACTGTTCATTCAAAGTGTGGCTGAAAGGAAGCTAAGGCAAGAACCCAACCTGCGACCCAGGTTGGCTTCTCGGTGCAGGCGGCAAGCACAGTGTGTGAGCCGCTCATAGGGGGATGGGACCCCTCATTGCTACACAAGCCCAGAAAGTTCCAGGGCCTCCACTTGAGCCCTGCACCTGCCGGTTCCTGTTAAGTCCTGTGCCCTCCTCCTGCAGGAGGCCTAGATAGATCGAATACTGGGGGCTGCTCCGGTTAACTTTGGATCTTTCAAGATGAGAAAGGGGTGGTGTTGAAGTTCAGCTGCAGCAGCTGGCGGCAGAGGGAAAACCATAGTATAACTTCAGGCTTCCTGTCTTGGGATTTATCTTAGCTATTTGGGTGGAGCAACCTAAACACTTAGGCTTCCATGAGACCAGAGTGTCTGTCCCTGGATCCTGGAATCGTGACATTGAAAGGGCTCACCTGGTTTACCCCTTCCTGTAAGAAGCGTCTTACACACCCACCTACCGAGACGGGCTCCCTGTGCTATCTAGTTCACCTTCCTCCAAGCCACACACATGCATCTGCCCATGTCTGTGGTCATTCCCGAAGAGGGCGAGGATAACAAATTAGGAAATCCAGTCTCTTCTCTTGTTGGGGACTCCAGATGTGACGACAGTGACCAAAGAGTAGGCGTGATCCCCTAGTGGAGCGGGCACCCTAAATTCTCCTAGCTTGTCTATCAGGCCCATCTGGAAAGGACCCAACACCTTTCTTTTTCAGCCCCCTCACGTTCTAAGCGTGGATTCCCCAAATGGTGCGTGCACTCCAAGCACAGACACGGCCAGTGTGAAATGTGAAGGTTTGGAGAGAAGTAAAGAGTGAATTCTGACATCCAAGCCTGCCGGATGCTGCCGGGGGGCCCTGGGAGACAGACCAGCGATGATCCCTGCAGCTGGGAGGCTCGTCCGGGCCAGACTCCTGGCCCCATTTCCAAATTGAAATCCGTTTGCCCGGCCAGCAGCACTGGGAGTTAATTTTTCTATCACTGTATTTAGGAATTAATTTCTGGAGAACTTAATCACCACTCCTCTCCCTCTCCTTCTCTCTCACCCCCTTCCTTTCTCCATTCCTTTCCCTTCTAATTTTCCACTTGGCTGGGAATTCTCCAGCAGTGAAAGTTCAGGCTTAGGGGAGGGCAGAGGTAGCTGCTTCATTAGAGAGGATAATCTCATTGGAACCACTGGCTTGAATAATAACCCTTTGCAGGGGCCCAGGGCCTTTCTCCCCACGGGCTTTTAGCACCTCTGATCTGGGCCTGGAGGAGCCAAACTGCAGGGGAAGTGGAGTGAGGAGGGGAGGTATGAGGAAGGTTAGCAGGGCAGACCCCAACCCTGGGGTCGGGTGTGTCTTCGAGTCGCCTGCTTCCTGCTGGCCGTCTGCAGGTCTGTGTTTGGAGCAGGGGTGACAATGGCGGTGGCAGAGGCAAATGTCTGAAAACTCAAAGGCACATAGTATGCACTTTCTGAATCCATATACGCTCCAGTTTTCCTACCCGGGAAATGGATGAAGCAGGAACCCTTCGAGGGTACCCCTACAGTTGAGGGACACCCTTTGGGCAGTACTGGGAGCCCCTTGGAAGGATATGTGTAAGCCCCCCTCCCCACCCAGGAGCCAGGAATGAACCCTTTGCACAATTCCCAGCTCTCGCCCAGGCCGCCAGGAATCACAGTCCTAGAAAAGCAGGAGGCCAGCCCCTTGACAGCCCCTGCAGGAAATCAGAGAGAATTCGTTCTTCCCCTTCCATTATCCTATCACATTTAAGGTCAATTGTCTGTGCTTTTGGACATTGGCAGTCTCCTCCCTCCCAGACCCTGAAGGATAGTAGAAATGTCAAAACGTCCCTGGCTCTGACCTTAAACTTGACTTTCCACTAAGATAACTGAGTTCTCAATACCCTTTGACAGCTGTTAAGAAAACAGAGCTACAGCCTGGACCATCCTCTCCCTCTTGTCTCCCTCCTGGCCTCTGGGCTGTCCTTCTCCTTCATTAAGAGGAAAACTGCTGCCGCCTTGCCTTTCTTTTATCTTTGATTTGTCCCGTGCGCCAATCGGGAGAAGATCTGTGTTTCTACATCAGCTCCAGTTTGGAGGGGTCAAATGAGGAGGTCAGAGAAGGGGTAACAACACTAACACTTATTGAGGGCTTGCTATGAGCTATACCCTGTTCTAAATGCTTTACTCACATCATCTCCTTTAATCCTCATAACCCTATTAGGTAGGTCCTATTTTATACCCATTTTATAGACAAGAAAACTGAGGCATCAAAAGGTTAAGTAATCTGTCCAAGGTTATACAGTTAGACAGGATGTTTTAAATTATAAATTATAGGTGGCTTCCCTGTAAGACCTAAATTTGGGAGGAGGAGATGAGTAGTTACTTTGCAGCTCTCAGGAGCAGTGGTAAGATACAGCCACACGAACTCTGGAAGCAGCAAACAATACGGGTAGGACGTGTTCTGCATTGATCCCCCAGCCAGACATCTTGCCTTGGCCCCTTCCCCAGAAGAGAGAGAGAGGCCTCTCTTTGCTATCTGAATCTCTATTTGGTAACTCCAGGTGATGTTTAGCCTGGAAGCAGCTCCATTCCCCCCCTCCACCCCTCTTCATAATTTAATCAAAGGCATTTTTCAGACCCACTGATTGCTCTTGGAAATAGGAACTTCAAAGTTGGGGCGTCAGTGAATAATTTAAGCCTGTACTGGCTCTCTGGATCTGCTGTTAATGGGAGTAATAACACTATTAATAGTGATGTCGGCGCAGACACTCTGGAAAAGTCCATAACATTAGCTTAATGGCTGAAGGTAATGGAGTCCTCGCAGAGGATCTGGCCTGGTAAATTAACTTCCAGGTCTTTCAGGCAGACGCTCCCGTAGCCGTCGGTCAGCTAGAGCAGCCAGGGAGTGCCACGGGGGTGACCAGACTCCCGTCTGACCCTTCACTCCCGGGATGGGGTTTCCTAGAAACACCCTGGGGAATTCGTCTTTGTCCAACAAGTCGCAATAACATTCAAAGTGCTTCCTAGCGGAAGGCAGAAACAGTGGTGGCCTAGGGGAAAAGATGGAGGGGAAATGTTTAAGTTGTCCAAAAGACACAGAAGGGGCATCGGGAAGACTAGAAAACTGGGTTTAGTAGTGCATCTGTGTCCCAGTACTGACTCTCTCTGGCTAGCTGGTGACGTCAGGCGAGTGACCTGCAGTTTCCTGACCTGTAAGGTGGGGCTTGTCACGGCATTGTTGTGAGGCTTAAATGACATGAAATCTAAACCCATATCACAGTGCCTGACAAGCACTTAGGACTCATAGCCATGGCTGCATTGCTCAGGACTGCGTCTCGCTTTCCATTGCACTCACTTCTACTGGGAGGTCCTCTGCTTTGTCCCCGTGTCTCCCCTCATCCTTGGAGGGGCAGCTTTAGTCCATGACCTACAGTGATTTCTCCTTCTTTGCTAAATTCTTTCCTTGGACTCTCAGGCTGCCCTTCTTGTTGTGGCTGAGCACGCGAGGAGAGATACCCACAGCTTTCTCCCGAGCCTGGGAGTGACCCCAATGGCAGCTCAGGGTGTCCAAGTGCCTCCCTTCCCTCGTCTCCTTGCCTGGTGCCACACCTGTCTGCTTCTTGAGACAGATGTTCCCTCCCCACATCTTCCCCCACCCCCAGGTGGGGTCCACATCCCTCTTTCCTACTAAACTGTAACAGCTCCTGGCATCTTCCTTCCTCTGCAACCTCTTTTCTCTTTAACCCAAAGAGATCAGCAACTCAGGACAGGTGTCGCTGTATCTTGTCTTAGCTTGTCCCTACCAGGACCCAGATTGCCCCCACCCCATAGCGGAATCAGCCACCCAGAGTTTCTGAGTTATGTCTACTCGGCGAAGCTCTGTGGTCTCAAGGTTCATCTGATTTGGATTAAGTACCGTTCCCCGAAACTCAGATACGCCCCTGCAGCGACTTCATGCGATGTGTGCATCTGGGTGAGGTTCACGTTCTTTATGTGCAACTTTCACAAGCCCCCCAGCCCCTGAAACTGAACGATTCCAGGTCACACCGCATGTGGTCCACCTGTGACGCAGTACACTTTGCACAGCACAGGACATCAAACAATGACAGCAAACCTCAGATAGCAGTTGCCCGGTGCCGTAGAGCCGCGATTCTGATCCAGAGCTTGCTTTTGAACACTGCACTCTGCTCCTCCGATCCTTCCTTCCCTCCCTCCCGCCCGCCTACCTGAGGGGATTCCAAAATCAATCGGCTGCTGCTTTTGAGAAGCTCACACTTAGGAGAGGGCTGTACTCAGCCCGATAAATGTCACACAATTTAAGACGTTGCAGACTGTAGGAAACTCCAGAGTGCTACGGGGCCACTCTTTGCCTAGGGCGGGCAGGAGGGACTGCAGGTGCCTGGTGGCTGAGCCTGGTCTGGAAGGGAAGGTAGGACAGGTGGAGAAGTGGGGGAAGGGGAGTCCAGAGAGAAGAATCGGCCTGTTGGAAGGCCAGGAAGTCTGAAATATTGTGTTCTATACATACAGAGAGAACGCATCTCAGGCGCCCTAAGGCAGAGGAGCAGCGGAGGGGAGGAATAGGCAGGACTGTGCGATGTGGGATTCCAGGGGCAAAGGGAGTTAGGATGCCTCCAGGGTTTCCGTGTTTGGCAAGAAGTGGTTGGAACTGTTATACCATGTTTCCAAGTGTGGCCAGGATGGAGAGGAACAGGCTTGAGGATGGAAACCAAAAGGACAGCTCTGGGCATGCTGAGTTTGGCGGAGTCCTGAGAGCTGCCGGAAGTGCCCAACGTCAGTGTCGGCCCCACCCTGGACCACAAGGCCATCTCCTGGGTAACTCTCGCTGTGTCCCTCCCAGGTGCACCCGGAAGGAGCGCTGCGAGCGGTCCAGGGAGCCCCGCAGGTTTGCCTCGGAGATGAAGCAGTGTGTGCGGCTGACGGTCCACCCCAGCAACATCTCCGTCTCCCAGTACAACGTGCTGGTAAGGGGCGGGGCGGGCCAGGGATGCGGGGAGAGCCTCCTTACCAGAAGGCACCTGAGCCCCAGGTGAGGGCCGGGCCGAGCATGGCCTGCAAGAGCAGATCTAGATCAGGGTGGGGTGTTGAAGGGTGAGTGTCCCTGGGGATGCCAGCAGGGGACAGGGACAGGAATATTGGGGAAGAGGCTCTACTCGTAAAGAGTAGAAAGACAGGGAACAGTGTCACTTAAAATGATCAAAAATGTAAAAAGGGTGTTGGGAACAACATGATGGTCTATAAAATGAGAAAGACGTATGTGCAGAGGGAGAAAGGGGCGTGGGTGACGCCCAAGTCCTGGCACTGGGCACTAGGTGGTGGGTGTTGCCACTTTGCTGGAACTGGGGACAATGGAAGAGGAACTTGGCCAGTAAGACCTGAGCCCTGCTCGTGTTCTCACCACAGAAATCCCCTAAACGCTTCCGCTTCCTGGGCCGAATCCGCTCAGATTCTGATGGGGTTTCCTTTACATCTCACCCCGACCTCCGAGTGCTCCTGTGATGAACAGGGCCTCTTCTCCGCACTAATACTGCCTCGTGCTTTCTGTCTCTTCTTCCCCATGATCTCTCTCCCTCTCCCTCTTTCTCTCTGTTTCTGCACCCTTCCTTTCCCCATTCCACCCTCCTCCTCCTCCTTCCTCTCCCCGTGCCCGGCTGTTCCCAGCTGGTCCTGGAGACATACAATGTCCCAGAGCTGTCAGCTGGCGTCAACTGCACCTTTGAGGACCTGTCAGAGATGGATGGGCTGGTGGTGGGCAATCAGATCCAGTGCTACTCCCCCGCAGCCACGGAGATGCCCCGCATCCTCACGGAGAACGGTGAGCCGGCCCAGCAGGCAAAGCGGGGTGCACGTCCTCCCCCTGCCCGGACAGGGAGAACTCAGGACAGATGCAGGGGACTGAGGGGGCCTACGGGCAGGGAGGGCCGAGGAAGGGGTGTGGGTTGGCCGGTGTGCTACAGGGGGTGCAGTCTCCCTCCACTGCCCTGGGAGGTGACTGCTGCAGCCTGTCTCAGCCCCGGGCCTGCGTCCAAGTTTGACCTCCTGGGCGAGGAGCAGCTGCAGAGAGGGTGAGGCAGGACAGGCCAGCAGAGCACGCAGTCAAGTTCAGCCCACTGGGGTTGGCCTGGCAGGCAGTGGAGGCGGGAGGCTGATCAGGACGGGGAGGCCACACAGCCAGGTCTCTGACGGACCCTTGTCTCCCCCCACACACTCACCTGTCTTCCCAGCACTGCCTGATGTTGGTGGCCATCTGCACTGGGGAGGGCGGGAGTGGACAGAGGCTTGACACTGGCAAGGGACAGCCCGGCCTGGGCAGATTGATCACATGTTGTCCCTCCCATGTGGGCTTGTCACATTTGTTCAGAGCTGATTGATTAATGAGGCTCTCAGGGATGGCAGAGAACAAGGCTGGAAGTGGGGGCCTGGGGTCAGGGCTGTGAATTAAACATGGGCTCCAGCTCCTCCCTGGCGCCAGCTGGGGGTCCCAGGGTCTCCTGCCTCAGTAGAGCCCTGAGACCCCGCAGGAGGGGTGGCAGAATAGGGTCTGCCTTTACAGAAATGGGGAATAAGCTTGTGTGTACATGCACATATACATACATGCAAAACTGTGTGCGTAGTTTGTGGCCGCATTACCAAGGGTCTGCATATCTTTGTCACCCTGGTTGCAAACCTCTGTGTGTGTGTGTGTGTATGTGTGTGTAATTCTGTGAGTCTGGCAAGGACATCATGTATGAATGCACATTTGAGCACCTGTCAGAGTGAGCGTGCATGTGTTTGTGTGTTGTGTGTGTGTGTGCATGCATGGGGCAGATGAGCAACCTGGGGCGACAAGTGATACAATGTGGTGGGGGACAGACTAGAACCGCCCTCTGTAGCTGCTCTCGGAGTTGTCCTGGGACTGGGCCCTGCCGCATCAGAGCCTTGGTGCAGCCGAGAGCCTCCCAGGGGCAGGCTCCCTTTCCTAGGTACATCACCACTGAGGCCCGTGCCAGGGGCCTCCCCTGACCTCTCGCCGGCTCTGCCTTGCAGGGGATCACCACGTCGTACAGCTGCAGCTCAAATCCAAGGAGACGGGCATGACCTTCGCCAGCACCAGCTTTGTCTTCTACAACTGCAGCGTTCACAATTCGTAAGTGCCCTGGCCTCACTCAGCTGTCTGCTCCTGGAGTCTGGGTCCATCCAGTGATATGACCCCACTGCTGTCCCCAAGAGCCACCGTGTGGAAGAATGAGACAGGCCCTCTCCTCTGGTGCCCACAGGTTAATGGAAAGAGAATGGAAGGAACAGAGATGAGAACCCAAGGGGTGGATGCTCCACATCCCTAGCCCCTTCCTCTTCTCTGGGATACACATTCCTAACCTGATGCCATTTCCGTCCTCTGCTGGGGTGGCACATCTCACCTGAGGAGCAGAGCAGCCAGCGCCATGGTCAGAGGAGAGGAGGGGTCTGAGTGGAGAGAGAAGCCCCCACGTGTGTCCAGGGGAGGGCAGTGGTCTAACGACTCCCCTGGTGCTCAGCTCTGCACAGCCCTGCAGGCCGGGCCAGGACGCAGGCTGGTGGGAACCGGGGGAGGCAGAAGGGTGCCGGGTGGGCGGGCTCTGGCCGGGGGTCAGGAACCTGGCTCAGAATCCAGCTTTGTGTGACTCGGGTATCCACCGACCAAGAGCAGGCGTGGAGGGCAGAGGCTCAGGCTCTGGAGTCAGGCTGGCTGGGAACCTTGTCCGTCCTGTGCCCCAGTGTCCTCTGGCAACAGGGAAGCAGTGGCGCCTCTTCCAAGGATGTCACACAAATGTTCAGCAGCTGGCGTGGCAGGAGCAGTCATTGGCTGGGACACTGTGCTGGCTGCCAGCCCTGAATATCAGCTCTGCCCAACCCCAGGACGGCCATGAGGGTTAAAAGGGCCGTTCTAAGGACCGCAGCATTCAGAGCTGCGTCTCGGCACTGCTGGGACCTGACCTCCAAAGCCTGCTTGCTTTAACACGCTGCTCTTGTCTCCTGTCCGGCCAGGATGGGCAGCTGACCACACCACAGGCGTGCTGGGGCTCTGGGTTGGTAGAATTTTAGGGTTCACAGATCTGGTAATGGCAGCTGTGAGTCCAGAGCTTGGCTGTCTTTGGGCCCCAAGTAAGGAGCCATCCCGCCCTCCCAGCCAACAGTGAGCTGCTTCAGCAGTGGGATTCTCCTCCTGCCGCTGGCCACGCAGCAGCCCCTGGCTTTGCTATGGGTGGTGGCCTAATCTCTCCCTCCCTGCCTGCCCCTCTGAGGAGGCAGAGTAGGTGGGTGAAATCATGTGTGAAGTTTCCACTCAGTCCATAAAACGGCTTTAAGCATTCACTGTGTGCAAGGCAGTGTGTTCCTCACAGATGCGGAGGAGTCAAACGTGAATGCAACTCGGAGGCTCCCTCCCCGCCCCCGAGAGTTCACGGCCCAGTGGAGGGGCCAGACAGTTAACAGTGAGGTTAATGCCACCAGGCCAGTGCTGTCCCGAGCTGTCAACAGAGATGCGTGGGAGGAGGGGCCAGGGTGCACAGCTCCGCCTCAGTCAAGGAGGTGCCTGGTGGAGGAGTCGCGCTCCAGGTGGAGGGACGGTGTGTGGGGAGAGCGTGACCTGTTCATGGTGAAAGCGACAAACCCCTGTGAGGACAGTAGACCTGGACACCCTGAAGGGCTTAGCCTGTGTAGAGAGACATTTGAGTTTTGGGGAAAGGGAGCCATGTGGGGTTTCTGAGCAATGCGGAGCTCTTACAGGGAGGCTTTGTTTTCCTGGGGGTCAAGGGCAGTGGCAGGCAAGGTTGCCCACTGTGGAGGAGCCCATCATCCTGGGATAGCAGCCTCACTGCCTCCCTCTGCCAGGGGTGTCCACATGGGCCCTTGCCGGCTGAGACCCAGAGTGAATCTGAATTAAAACCTGATTTTTTTCTTTGCCCCAACACTAACGGTCTCTCCAGACAAGCTCCTCTATTTCAGACCTTATCGTTCCCCCTTCAGCAAGGAGGATGTCATCCTGCAGGGATGGGGATGGGCTCATTAGGCCCTGGAGGACCAGGGTTGTCAGCTACATATGGGGAAGGGGGGCGGCCAGAGACTCTCAGCTTCCTGAGGACTTGGGGAGTACGGGGGTGGATTTGTATGAGATCTGCTCTTCCTGAGCATTTGAAGTGGTTTCTCTGAATATTAAAAATGTTTTGCTAGACCCTAGAGGCTTAGGTCCTCTGCTTTGAGCTCACCCAGGTTCCTCCCCTGTGCCCAGGTGCCTGTCCTGCGTGGAGAGCCCGTACCGCTGCCACTGGTGTAAATACAGGCACGTCTGCACCCACGACCCCAAGACCTGCTCCTTCCAGGAGGGCCGAGTGAAGCTGCCTGAGGTAGGTCCCCCCCAGTGTGGCCAGTGGTGAGTGCCACTTACTGTGGGCACAGGGTCTACACAGCAGGCCTTCCCTTAAGAGGAGAAACCAAAGGAAAACCCTGCAGAACCATACCCTTCCTCCCCAGCCCTGGCTCTTACGGGACCACTCATGAGAGCAGTAAACAAGCCAAGCTCTGTGCTGGGACCAGGGGTTCAGGTCAGCCTGGGAAGTTCAGTTACAGACAAAGATGTATGTCAGGTCCCTCCAGGAGGAGGATGCACATGCTAGGTGAGTTCTGGAATAATTCCAGAGTGTGGTTGTGTCATAGAAGTAATTGTGAGTGCGCAGCAGGACTGCATGCAGGCTCCTCAGCTCTTTCTCAAGCACTGTTTACGGAGAAGGTCTGGGACCAAGGAGAGGAAACTGAGTAAAAGAGAGAAAGAGAAATAGAGTGAAAGGATGGTCAATTTAGGAACCAGAGCAGTGGTTCTCAAAGTGTGGTTCCCAGGTCAGCAGCGTCCACATCAGCTAAGAACTTGCTAGAAAGGCAGTCTTTTCCTCCACCCCAGACTAACTGGATGGGAAACTATGTGGTTGGGGCCCAGCAATTTGGGCTTGCACAAGCCTTCCAGGTGATTCTGAGGCTTGGTCCAGTTTGGAAAATCACTGAGATAGAGTTTTGGTCCAAGTTTAAGACGTTAAGACATTGTCTTTCTATTCCTTCCTAATTTTTATTCTTCTCCTTGAAAACTCTTTGTCACCATAGTAAAAATGCATTCTGCCAATGCTGTGGCCTCTCTTAGAATGCAGAGTTGTGTGTGAGGACCTCAAAGGTAACAGGCATGAAAACACTTCGGGAAAGTCTGCTGTTGTCCAGACACCGCAGTGTTTTGCACTCTCTCAGGCAATGTTGAACTCAACAGGCCCCAGCATCTCCATCCCAGCCCCAGCTTGGATGTACCTTCCAGCCCCCTTCACACACCCACACAGGTGCCATGACCATGTGGCAAGCCCCACAGCTGTGACAGCAGGGGCTGTGCAGGTGCAGGAAGCCAGGGGCATAGAGAGGACAGACAGGCCCATCCAGGGCCTTCACTCCCTCCCTGACCCTAGTCTTCCACTGGGAACCCTGCCTCTGGCCAAACCCTCATGGCAGGAGGGAAGCTGTCTGATACCCGAGGCTGAAAGGGAAGGTCGGTGCACACCCCATACTGACCCCTGCTTTACTGGGCCCCTCTGGCGCAGGGGAGGTGACGGCACCGTGCTTAGCCATCAGAAAACCCAAGCCCCAGATCCCATTTAGCCCGGGCCTGGATGGCTGGGCAGGAGTTCCGTAGGTGCAGCGTGGGCAGAGCAATTCATCTTAGAGGTGAAGACCAGGAGTGGGGAAGTCGTCAGGGGAGAGAAAGATCTGGATCGAGTAGAGGGCCAGGGAGCAAACGGGAGAGAAAGAGCAGAAATGGGAACACACCCATCGGGCTAATGAAGTGATTGGGGACCTTTGAAATACTTCAGATAGTGCAACTGTTTGGATTTCATTTTATTCTTGGGACCTCTCCACGCTTAAAACCTTTGCCACATGTATTAGTCGGGAAAGCCGGAGAAAGACCAAAAACCTGCCTCGACTCCCATCGAGTTCCTTGCAGGAAACGGGAAGAGACTGCGGAAGGCTCGGACATGGCCCCTCTCCCTCCACAGCAGGGTCTGTCCCTGGCTGGAAGTGACTACTCTAGATTCACAGTCAGCAAAAGAGACCCAGCCCTAGACTGTCCCTTTAGAGGGAAAGGGAGTAAAGGGGTTACATCTTGGCTTTAAAGTAGGAGTGTGAATCTCATGTTTATGAATCAAAGACAACACGGACCTAAAGGTAATAAGAGATGTGGGTAGGAGAGCCGAGGACACCGTCTGGGCATGCAAATGCTGATAAAAGGCTGCACCATCTCATCAACCCAGCCAGGCCTTTGTCTTGGGGCAGGTTGGCCCACCAGGGCCAGGAACAGGGTTCCAGGAAGTATCCTGTTCTTGTTTTGGTCTGAAACCTGCAAATAACTTGCTGGGAGTTAAGACGAAGTGGTTTTCAGCTTCTCTCCAGCTCTCTAGACTGGTGTATCTGGCAGAGGTTTTATGTGCAGAGAGGCCTGAGAATAAAATGAAAGCAAACACAATTGAGCTATCTGGTGGATTTCGAAGGCCTCTAATCATTTAATTACCTTGGAGGAGCTTTTTAAATTTCTGCTTTTTCTTTCTTGTTTGCTCCTCTTGTGCTAAATTTCTTTTAAATGTATAAAAGGAGCTTGCATCTGCTACTCAGGGGCGAAAAAAGAACTAGGAGAGAATAAAATAAGAGCCCACCCTGGTTCCCAGGGCAATGCAGGAACCCCTGTAGAAGAACGTATCTCGGGGCCCCCAGGAAAGGAACTGGCCTGGAAAATCATGGCCCGTGAAAGGGTGCAGAGCTGGACTAACCCACTGCCACTGCCCTTCAATCCTTGGCATCACGTGTGGGCTGTGCTGTGTGAGCCTGGCCGGCCGTGACAGTGACAGACTCAGGGTAATTTGGAACCGCCCAAACCTCCCTATCACACTGTCACATGGCAGAAACTCTGGCTGCTCTTCACCTTGGATGTTGGTTTATTCTGAGTGAAGGAAGCTCTCAGGGTGGGCTTCTGGTGCAGGAGTGGAGACCACATTCTACCTGGCTCCACATCAGGACCATTTTCAATGTGAGCATGGAGGAAAAGCCGGAGTGGACCGCTCATGGGGGGTGGTTGCGGTGGCCTCTTGCAAGTGAAGGTAGCAGAGGGGAAATAAGTGAATAAATACTTGTGGACTATTGACTGACTCCAGCCATTCTGAGTTAGTAGAGGGAGGTCCTTGTCCTCAGAACTCAAAACAAAGTCCCCAGCTGCTAATGGAAGCATGATGATTTTTTAATGTGTTAGTTCTGTTCCTTATATTTTTGCATTATAAGTATACATATATTTTAATGTTATGCAGTCATGTGTTGCTTAACAACAGGGATATGTTCTTTGAAATGCATCATTAGACAATTTTGTCTTGCAAACGTCATAGACTATATTTACACAAACCTACATGGTACAGCCTACTACTACACACCGAGGCCGTGCAGTATAGCCTATCACTCCTGGGCTATATACCTGTACAGCATATTTCTGCACTGAATACTGTGGACAGGTGTAACACATGGTAAGTATTTATGTATCTAAACATATTCATAGAAAAGGTACAGTAAAAATACAGTATTATAATCTTATGGGACCACTGTCATATATACAACCCATCATTGACTCAAACATTGCTATGTGGAGCAAGATTGTATATATCTCTAGGAAGAGACAGTAGCAGGAGTATGGGGTGGAAAAGAAAACTACACAATTGAGGGGTGATTTTGTGGAAGCCATTAGTCACTATTGTCCTCTTGCCACTCCAGAAGGGCTTAATCACAGCACGATACTGTGGAGTTTGGCTATGATGTAGCTGTTCATTCGTCACTACCCAAGCATTGCCTATGCTCAAGGCATTGTGAGAGGTCTAAAGGTGAACAAGATCTCTGCAGATCTGTAGTTAGAGGTTTGTAAAATGGAGTCTACATGCTTGCTAAGGCTCTGTAATTATAAGTAGAAACAAGCTGGAAAGCACCTAGGAGAAATCCACACCCAAGACATGTGAGTGTCAAGGCTGGGTGAGTGTCAAGGCTGCACCTAACAGGGTGACTGTACCCTCCAGGCCTGTAGCTCCCCTGGACAGCCAGGCCAAAACCCTCCCTCTTAGAATGAAGATATCCCCAGGCCCCAGTGATTCTTCTGGAGTGCCTGGATTTTCATTTCCTTTCCCCCTTTGAGTGAGGGTAGGGGGCACAGACAATGTCCTTTTATTAGCTATGAGTGAGGCTGCCAGGTGGCTTTCATCTATGCAGCACCATCTTGCATGCCCAGGAATGCTTTCATCTGGCGTCTTCCATTTCAGCATTGGCTTTGTTGGCTGTTGCCAGGGATGTTGAATTGCCTCCTTTTTTATCCTGAACAAAGAGGGTGTTCAGGTGAGGTTATTGGTCTGGAACAGAGAACTGGTCGATCCTTGTTATTATTATATTAATGGCAATTATTCCAATATAATTACAATTATTAGAAATAGAATGTCCAATAACATATGTCGTTTATAGTAACTATATTCCAGTTACAAGGAATGATTTTGTTTCAATTAATGATGGCATTGTGGTAACAGCCCTGGGTCTTCAGATCAGCCACCAGAGCCTGGGTACCAGATAGAAGAAGGGGAGGGGAGACTGAGACGGGGTGACAGTGTCTCCCTGCCCTCAGTCCCGTTCCCCCAGTATCATCTGAGGCTGGTGTTTGCTCCCCACCTGAGTGGCCTTTCACTGGGGCAGCCATGAACAGCCACGCCCACACCTCCACCGATCGGGAGGAGACACTGGTCCCCAAGTGGCTTTGGAACCCCCTGGTCCTCCACAGAGTGACCTGAACTGCCCATGAGGCCCACCCTCTTAATAACAGTGATTCTTGGGGAACAAAGATGCACTTCTATGGAAAAGCAAATCCAGTGGCAAGAATGTGTCCTCAGTGGACTATTTTGCTTTTTGTCTAAACGGAAAAGCAAAGTGGAAGCTGTTGGAACTCTGTTCTCTGGGCGTCAGACTGGACGGGCTCTGCTAGGAAGGCAAAGCACATCTGGCCCACAGGTGTACAGGCTCACAGAGGAAGTTCCCTGCAATGCCTCTCCTCTTGAAGTTCAACCAGCGAGCTTACTCCAGAGAATAGTTGTAAGATCAGAGAAGGCAAAATGAATTCTATTTGATTTACAAAGCTGTGTTTGAAAGCTTCTCCCAACATCTCCTCCGACCCCTAGTCCCCTGAAAAGCAATCTGGAGCCAGGACTCGTATCATGCAATCTGGTGTCCTAAGGGTCAAGTCCTTTCCAAGCCTGAAGCCCTGGCAAGGCCGGGAAAGTCCTAGCTCCTGGACAGCAGCTTGCCCCAG